GTGTAATCCGCTATTTCTCCCAAATATCACGTAAAGCAGTGAGAACTGGTTTTCAGTTAATTTACCATGTAAAATAAAGTTTAAATAAATTACATAAATGCTCTAATAGTACACGTAAGTTAGTGGTTTATTTATTGTTAGTTACTGTAATGTTGCGCTGCTTTATTTGGTTAATCGTCCAGTCTGTGAAGAAGGCATTCAAGTAAGAATTACATTGTAGTATGACTCATTTCCTGACGTGTACAATTTATATTAGGTCAGCGTTCACGGTTCGACTTCTGATATTCAGATCAAGTAATGCGAGTTCTAGTGAGTTCGAGAACCGGAGTACCACTGTACAGTCATCTCCCACTATATCGCGGTTCAGCTATCGCGCCCCTGCTATTTCGTGGATTTTTCCCTGACCCGTCAGAGTTCTCTGCGTATCGCGTACCTTGCTTGTGGTGCGATTGTTTACGTTTTTTTAACCCCTGCGATGGCTCCTGAGCGTTCCACATCTTCAAAGCCTTCTGGTAGTAGTGAGCCTAAGTGCCAGAGCAGGACCTTGACCATTCAGGAGAAGGTAAAACTCCTGGATATGCTTCAGGAAGGAAAGCGTTACGCGGACGTTCCTCGCCATTATGGCTTGAATGAATCGATGGTATGATACATCAAGAAGGGTGAAAATAATATATAACAACTAAATATGTTTTTATTTTTATATATTCCATTATGTATACAGAGATCTATACATACATAGAAATACATTACATGTTGTTATTATTATTATTATTTTTTTTAATAAGTTTACATTGGTTTAAAGCGTGTTGGAGGGGTATTTTAAGGCTTAAACTATAAAAAATGTTTATTTATACAGTCTTCCTATATCACGGATTTTCACTTATCGCTGATAAGTAAGAATTACATTGTAGTATGGCTCTGGGGTGTGCTCCCTGGAGCACAATGTCGTTGAAGAATTTATGCCTCTGCTGCCTACAAGACAACTACCTCCACCTCCGGCAACTACCCTCCAACCTGCCTGCCCTTGGCTCAACACGATGCCTCGCCATCCTTCCCTGCGGCTGTGCCTCTATTAATCCTGCCATCGTGCATCAAGCACCCCGTGCCTGCACCGGTCGGCCGCTGCATTGAGACTGATATTTCAACCCCTGTATTAGCTTAGTCATATCATCTTGTTTGTTTGACTCATCTGCCGGCCCCTGGAGGATGGGCTCCCCCTTTGGGTCTGGTTCCTCCCAAGGTTTCTTCCTCTTAGGGAGTTTTTCCTTGCCACCGTTGCCTTTGGCTTACTCAATGGGGGGTCCTTACGAGGCAGAAATGTAAAGCGCATTGAGACAATGTAATGTTGTGATAATGCGCTATATAAATAAAATTGAATTGAATTGAATTGATGGGTCTGGAACGCATCTTCCGCGATAGGCGGGAGATCACTGTACAGGGGCATGGTCATAGTGGTATTGATTGGCCTCCGGAGGGCACCCTCCCCTGTCACTCACCGATTCAAAACATATCACTGGCTAAGGCTGGCCCCTCTATATGAATTATGCTCCCTCTTAAGTCCCCCACCTAGAATCGTCCCTTTACCTAGATAGTCCTGGTTATTAACTCATTCCATACTGGTCTCTCACCATTTGGATATCAGGGCATTTCAGGAGAAAAGTTACTATGGATCTCACGAAGGTCCTGGGTGCAACGTAACGCACCACTTTTCAAAAATTGTATACAATCGATTAAAAAAAGATGTGACCCTTTGTTACAACTCGATCCCTAGTGGCAAACACCTCACGGCCCAGCATTTTCGGCAAATAATGCAAATACATTTGTCCTGCATTTGTTTTTTTAACATTCTTTCAGGATAATAGCAGATTGGCTTACAGGAGTATTATTTAGAATACCGCGTTATCTAGCGGAGGCAGTCAGGAAGTGTGTGGGCTTGAAATGACCCCAGGTGCTGGGTTGGCAGTCATTCACCAGATGATGAAAGCTGGCGTCCCTTTGCCTTATCTTTCCTCCCAAATCTCCCTACCCCTTTATCCTCCGGCGCCGCGTGACGCCATGTGTTGCGTCCAACCGGGGTGACTGCAACAGGAATGCCTCAGATGGAGGTCTGGGAGCCGACCGCATGCTGGAGAAGGGAAAAGAAAACAGCGATTGGTCATTTGGAGACTCAGAATAATTAAAGACCCATAAATAAATCAATGCATGTGTCTCGGAAAAAAAGAAGCAGCAGAGCAGGTACAAATCGTGCACAGACCGCCTCGGGGTCAGCCTGTCAGCTTTACCGTAGTGCTGTTACCTCCCCGCCACTGATGATGAATGTGTATGAATAAGCGAGGGTCTGTTTAATCAGGGATGTAATTTGCCCATTCTCTGTATTAATTATACCCCAGTGACAAAGACGAATCCGTGTCACATTTTGTAACTGTGTTATGAAGGTGTTTCTGGGGTCCGTAATATTCAGGTAAAGCCGGGAGGATGATGTCATTGGGTTATATCAGGAGGGGGTTGACTCAGGGGCAGACTTGTTGTTTCTGGGGCTCCGCTCAAGCAGCCACTTGGGGGAGGGGGGGGTGCGTCCCTCCAGTGTACTGACAGTTTGTGGCTCTGAAACCTTGGTGGTCCCATGCATATACATGAGTCTAATGGCGGTAGACACAGCCACTGGAAAGACTCGCCCACAAGATAACATGAATACTTGAGAAACAGCAGAATGAATGTGTCATAATGGGCTCAACCAATGGGGAAGATCGAGGGCTGTGATGTCACGCATGTGCCACAATCAGCCTCTGAGGGTTTTGGCGTCTGCCTCCGAGAGGCACCAGGAGGAAACTGAAATCGTCCAGGTGCTGGCCCCAGCTTAGCCTTCCTGTCTTCCTCATCTCCCATTCACTCTCCTTCTTCCCCTGCCTGTTCTCCTCGGCGGCTTGAAGTGAGCCGCTGCCCCCTGAGGCGGTGGATCCACGTCCAGAGTCGACCTTATTAGCAGTTGTGAGAGAGACGGAACGATATCCTATAATATCAGAAAGAAAATCGAAGACAGAGTCGCCGACTTTGCTTAAACGGAAACCTTTAGGGTGGAAAGCTTCTGTTCTCTCCCACCTTCAGCCCAGCCCTAGCTCATCGCAGAGGCAGGTTAGATGATCATGCACGAGAACTAGAGGCAGCAACGGAGTGGTACGCTACTATCAGAATGCACATTTTACGAATCAGTTGTGTGTTTTACCCCAATAGCTGGGAAAGAGGGAGGGTAACCCTCAGCCTGACTTCTGCCGAGGTTAAACGGAGGAGACGGTCTCTGAGGGAGGCGGTGAAAGGTACCAAAACTATAGCCAGCCCTATTCCCCTCCCCCCGACCGACTCCCCGAGCCAAGTGCATAGCTTTGGTTTCCACATCCCCCTCCCCTAAACACACATGGTACTCCCACAGTATTGGTAGGGATGTGTCCCCACCGCCCTGCCCACGCCCTGTCCCCGAGCGACAGGAACCAATCTGCGGCGTCACTGGAGAATGTCGGAAGCTCCCGGCTTCTCACAGAATGCTCTAAAATCCGGCCATCAGAGGTGACAGCAGGGAATCTTCATAATTCATGGTGCATCAATAAAACAGCTCATGGGTAGTTTAGAGTAGATGACGGACTGACTGTAGACAGGTGTTGATACATTAACAGGCGACCATACGCTGAGCAATAGCTGTTACTCTTTGGGTAGAAGCTGCCCAGTGCTTTCATCCTTACTGCAAGGGTTATGGGTATTTAGATTGTTTTTCTCAGAGGCTTAATGTTTAAGTCTTTTTTCCCTCAATTGCCTGTAGCCCCTGTTTTATTCCTTCACTGCCTTTTCTATTGTTTGTACTCCATTACTGCCTGCTTGATGTTATTCTTATTTTAATTTTAATGTATTATTTTGTTTTAACTTTTAATTTTTTTGCTTGTGTAGTGCATCAGGTTTGAGATATGCACATTACAAATAATAATAATTATAATAATTATTATCTGTGTTGTTTTTTTTGTCGTTCTATAATAATACAATGCTGATTATTATTAATAACATTAATATGAATAGGGTGATGCATATTCAAACACTAACAGGTCCAAGGCCTGGTTTGCCTGGACCCTGCTGGGCTCCACTCCCAGTTTGCTGTGCTGTCTGCCTTCTCACTGATGTATACCCCTGATCAGCCTAATGGTGACCTGGTCCCTCCCTATCTGTGTACGATCACTTCCACATTCTACAATTGGGCTCTGCGGTTATGCACTTGACTGATAAAACATATTATTACGCGCCAGTTTGTTTGACAAACAGCACCGAGCGCATGCATCTGGCCTCGCCGATGCCGCCTCACCCCGTCACCGAGGTGGTATATTAGCAGGAAGGATGTCTGGGCGCTTTGTTCTCAGAAACCGTGCAGGCAGACAGACTGAGACGTTTAATAGACTGTTTTAAACCGTCACTCGCCTCTGTTTCCTTTCTAAACGTGTTTAAATGGATTACCTTTGTCCAAATCTAGTGTCAGTGCTTCAGGAAAAAGGGGACAGTAATCTCAGTGCTGCTCAGAAAGGGCATGTAGTCTCACTGTTACAGCAATATGGCTTGATCATCACAGGATTGTAGGAAGAGGGCCAGCTTCCTGTTGCTGGTCATCGGTAAACCCAGGGCTGTGAATCTGTGGGCCTTGTGTCCGAATCTGGCCCCTTCAATGGACCCTCTTTGTTACTGGGCTCCCACACTGATCAATAAATGGCCAGGTTGCATTTTATTTGACCATGCTTGTTACCCACCTTTATGAGAAAGAAGCAAGACTGTAAATCATTTAAGAGTCGGCACGCTGGAATTGTTCATGCAAGCCAGAGACATCTAGTCCTGCTCTCTCTATCGCTCTTGGAAATGTCACGTCAAATTGCCGTTCGCATTTAAAGGGCTGCATGTTGTCGTTGGTATCAGCAGTTTCAACTGGAGAGAATTGGAGGGTAATAATCCCGCTCGTTTTCACATCCTGGCAGGTCCTCATCGGCCTGGAAGGCCCTACTAAATCTCCCACATCCTTCACAGGATGAGTGTGGAGCCGGGGCTGTCCGACCCTGCAGGAGCAGCATACGGCTCAGGTGTGAATACCTCGTGGTAAACCGCCAGTGCACGGAAGTGGCCTTATTGTGTAATGAAAAGGCATCTAGGCTACCAATCAGAAGCTTTTGTGCACCACAGGTTGTTATTAATACTACTTTTACATTTATTTCATAAACTGTAGATTTGTTATTCTTATTAAGCACTGGAAAGTTCAGTGAACGACTATATGAAAATATAATGAAACAAGTTTAATTTATAACATGGAAAGAGTAAATAATAGTGCATGCCAGACATCCTATTAACTGATTGTGTGATGATGGCAAGTCAAATTCTAGGCTGGCCTTTAAATGAACTAGTTAACTATTTCATTCCTTGGAACACAGCAGTATTTTATGTCCCTTGAAGGAAGAATGCCTTGAATTTTCTCTGCTGTTACTTTGATGAATCAAGGATGTGACATTTTCTTGCTAATAAAGGTACTTGAATGGTGAACATACTGTAAATGTATTTGTTAGCAAGGAATATACAGTGAATGTTAAGTAAATACTAAGTGAGTAACATGCAAATGTTCAGTGTGTGAAATTTTGACAGGTACTGTAGTGTACTACTGTCTGATCGTCAGATTTTTTCACAGTGGGTTTAATGTGGTCTTATTGCAAGAAAAACAAATTAACAAATTATTTTGGCTCACCATTACAAAAGCAGGGGCTGACAGTGTTAGATGAACGGGGTCTGTAAGTCTCAGTGTTACAGAAAAAAGGCCTAATAGTGCTATAGGAAGAGGACAGAGTCTGTTATCTTCACTGTTAAATAAAGAGTCTGGTAGTAGCAGTGTTAGAGACCTTTGGTTCAGTCCACATATAATTATAGGAGCAGAGAGGAGCCCAGCTCCGCCCCCTTATGTCCAAATCGCACCTTGCTGGAGTGCAGCTCCTCATCCTTCAATGTTAACCTTTTTTTCGTAATGTCCCAAATTTTTCAGAGTGAACAGTTTAATAAAAGGTCAATTTTGCGCTAAAAGTAATGTTTTGTCCTCAGCTTTAATGACAATTTTCTTTAGTAGCTCTGACCAGACAATTATTCCT